GGTCTCGGGTCTTGCTGCTCCGGCCCCTGCCAGCGACGGAGGAGCGGATGCAACCCGGGCCTTGTTTTGTCTGCGTGGTGCATTTGGGTCGGTCTCCTCCTGACAGCTGTCCATACGGCCACCTCGCTGGGTTACCCTGTGTTTAGAACAGCCTGTGTGGTTTTGATTTATGAAGAAGTACCTGCACTTCAGATTATTTGTTTCAGGGTTGGCCACATTTCAGGCCAAAATTATTATAAGATGATTTCCTCAATCGTGGGTGGATTATGAAAGAAATAATAAGCACTGGTGGGAATTCAGAGTGTAGAGACAGCAGCGGGACGTAGCTGCTATCGCTCTCGATCCCTTCTGTGAGGAAACTCTGGAGAGCTTTTCCAGCCCTGGCGTTTGGTTAACCCCTGAGGGACGAAGAGCGGGAGATGGCTCCTTCTGGTGAGGGGTCAGAGGAGCGACCCCCCGGTGCCCCGTGGTGGTGCAGTCACTTCCCCGGGGGCTCAGAAGCTGCCCAATTCCTCTGGGGATCTGGTTGCGCAAAGAAAGGCATGGGACTGTCTTTCCACAGCCTCTCCCTTTAACAAGAAATCACCTGGGGCTTCTCAGTGGTTCTGTGGAGTTCCTGGGTTGTTGGGGTTTTTGCCACGTTTTTAATGGCTTTCATCACAAGAAGGAAGGAAGGAAGGAATCTTAATCTGAGTCGCTGGAACAGTAAATTGCTGTTACAAATGAGCAAATGATGACCTTAATCAATGAGTAGGTTAGATTAGCTGTGGAGATGACTTTCAGCACGTCCACATCACTGCCGTGCGGGAAACCTCATACAGCTCTGAAGATACTCTCCCTGGGTATTGTCCAAAGTGATACTATGGGCGTCCAGTTAGGTCAAGTGCAAATGCGTCGATGAAAATGTATCAGAAAGGTGAACTGTTTATAAAGGGGAAATTGGAATATTTTTCTGGGGTCTGCACAGCTGCTTCTGCGTATCGTTGATGCAGTCACTACTCCTCTTTACAGCGCTGCAGAGCGCCTGGGCCTGCCATCGCAGGCCGGTACACTGCCGCTTGTGGTCTTATTCTCATTATGAGCTATATTTTCACAGGAGCGTGTGACTTCATTCATTTTCAGCGTGCGAGTACGACGTCGTGTTCCGGGGTACTTTATAACACCAGTAGGCTACTCAGACGTATGGCACACTGAGGTAATGCAGTGCTAAGAGACAGAAAGGAATCTGTCTGTGTGGTGCCTGACTGTACAGCTTGTGCTTTTTATTGATTTTATTTCTGGATTGCCCTCTCTTACTTACCAGCAGGGAAGATCAACTGATCCATGTGTATGCAATTCAAACAGGGAGCTGGCCTGCAGTTTTGGTTTGCACAGGGATGTGTTGAAGTTGGATGGATAGTAACAGCCACACTGTAAAGAAAAATTGCCCCTGAGATTTAGATTAATTGACAATAAAAGGTACCAGTGCAACTTTGCTCTTCAGGTGACAGTGTTAATGATAAAAATTGTTAAATGCTGAAGTAGTTTTGAAATGTCTATGGGTGATAAAGATAACACCTGAGCAGTGCTTTAAAGTTATAATTTATTTAATCACCATCCATTCAGTACGCAAGTATTTTCAGCTAGAAACGCTATATCTAGTGTAATTGAATATATAGAGTGAACAGACATTATTGTTTGGTGAGAAAATTGATGAGAGCTATTTTCCTCTAGGCTTTATTGAGCTGTCAAGTGAGTGAAAACAGTACACATTTTCCCTCTCAGAGTTTATCCACCTCTGCTAATATTTCATGTTCCTTTTCTTCTGTCTGCCCTTGTAAGTGGATTACTAGAAGTGCACTGAGATACCTTGTGTGAATTTTTGTGCTCTCTAAAGTGTTAAGTATGAATGGGTGATTAGGCCACCACATGCAGTCCAGTCTGAGCATCTTCAAGAATCACTGAGTATTGCAAAGATGAGATAGATGTTTGAACTTCTTGACCTTGAAGTGCTCTCTTAATCCTGTCACCTTCATAGTTGTAAAATGGATATGGCATACGGTTGGTGGAGTTAGGAATAATGGTTCAAATACCCAGTAATAAAGGTACAGTTAGATGGAGACCAGGTGCCGCTGTCAGCTTGTTGGTGGTTACCTCCATGGGAGATGGTGCCTTTGGCTTGTTTGCTCTGAGAGAAGACGGTGATCAAACTGATAGTGGAGAGCGTGCAGAAGAGTAGTGTTTATCACTTCTATATGGACATAACTGTGCGTAAGTGAATTTATGATGGTGCTGTGTGGCCTGACTGTTGGTATAACCACATCCGCGTGCTTAACTTGAATGGCGTATGAATGGTCAAGTCTTCAAGTGGGAAATACAGGATTACCCAAAAGGCCAGTCATACGGGTGTATAACTGTTCCTCACAAAGTAAGCATTCTGAATTAATGGAACAGCAATCTTTAAAAAACCCCCAAAAGTTCTGATAATTTGGTTTCTGTTTGGTAAAGTGATAAAACAATTTTTTATTTTGGGAAAAATGTTTACGATTCATGCAGTTCTATCCTTCAGTGTTTGGATGTTGGGTTCCCCTCCCTTCCCTGTCAAATGTGCATATGAGGTTTTCCTTAAAAAAATGAACAAAAAAAAAAAAAGGAAAACAAAAAGCAGAAGTCACCAAGGTTTGACATGAACATTTCAACAACATGGTGAACAGTAATTTTGCTCTGTTTTTCAATGCATGTGGAGACTAATTTATGAAAGAGTAGATGATTACTTTGTGCTTTGAATTATGCATAGGTTGTCAGAGGAAGCAGAATTTCGTCAGTAGTTAACATACAAGCTGCAGACTAAGAAGCCACTTTGGACTGTCAGAGTAAATGCTCTGCTGAGTTAGATAAATTATAACAACAGATAATATGCAACAATAAAGGGGTAACAACCAGTAATTGCCAAAATAATGGTATTCAACCATCTTTATTTTTGCTTCATTGTGACTGGATTAATGTTTGTAATTTTTTGCTTTTGTAATGTAAAATTACTCCTTTTTTTGCCTTTTCTTTTTGACAGACTAGAGACGACTTCCTCGGTCAAGTGGATGTGCCACTTAGTCACCTTCCGGTAAGCAGTGCTTTTGTCTCAGCGTGCTCTTTTTTGTCATCACTGGATGTGAAAAACCCTGATATTATGTAGAATTTATTTCCATAAGTAGTCCAGTTAAATTTTCTTGAAACGAGCCTTCCCAGCGTAGCATTAGAGGCTTAAAGAAAAATGCTATGGACCACAAAGCCCCACCGTGCCCAGGAATTGGGAGAAATTATTCTCCTTGCAGGGACAAGCAAGACTGTTACTGTCTGGTATCTGTTAGATTTCTCAACACCCAGGATTCACTTCTTACCCTGATTCTTGATTAAAATCCATGTCTGGTCTGAGTCAATTAATGAATGACACGTGGCCAGTAGACTGGTTGTTTCTCACCTTACCATTGGTGATTATTGTCCTATTAATCTTCTGCCTTCTTCCTTTTCATGATTTTCCCTTACAGTTGAAACAGTTGTATTTTCCCTTAGCAAACTCCATTTCCTCCAGAACTTTTGTTAAAACATTGAAAAACCCCACATTTTTGGAGTCCTATTTATTTGTCTGATCTTCTGTCTAAATAATATGCTGTTAAGGTCATGGGATGGTAGTTCTGTCTGGAAAGTGGATAGTACGTTTTGATATTACTTCAAAGCTTGTAAAGCCAATAGCCACAGACTGAAACCAGAGAAACTGTTGAACCAACGTGACAAGATCTGGAGAAGTTACAAAAATTCAGTTCTTTTGAAAAATGTTATAAAATTACTAATCTTCATAGCAAATTCAAGTAAAATTATTGGTTTTACTACTGATTGAAAGTGAACTTAGCTGGAGAACTCCTAAGTAAGAATGGAAATAGTGAGATATTCATGAGCGCCATAGCACGTACAACAACATACATCATCTTGGATCTAGTGCTCATATGGTGAGCTAGAGCTGCGTTATTCATAACTAGTTAGTTTTGGATGGTTTATTTTTTAACTTGGACCATTTGTTTGGTTCAGTTTATGAAATTGCCCTGCCAACAGCTGTACTGGCTTTGAGACACGAATAATCACCAGAGGGGAGACTCTTAAAGTCAACACCACAGCTGAAAGACGTACTCATGACTTCAGTTAGTAACTTGTGTTATTGTTGGAAGTGGTGACATAGAGGTGTGTTCTGCTTCTTTGCATGGGAAGGGGTGCACATCTATGGTCAGAGAAACCTTTTGTGCAAAAAGCCAGGTCGTATAGATAAGCCCAATTAAGTTTCCTTTTAGCAGATTTGCTTCAGCAAAGGCATGGAAAACCAAAAGGCTGTAAGAACTATGTGGTATATTCATTATTTTACCTAAAATTAAATCCTTTGCCAGCAGTAAGAGTTCTAATAGCAAATAATTAAGAGTAATTGACACAGAGTTTGAATCATTTTATTGTCAACAATCAAATGTTTGAGGTGTTTGATTTGAGGGTGGTAATGTTTTCTCTGGTTTTGTTTCTTAATAAATGGAGGGATTCTAAGTGTAAAGCTTGTTCTGTAATTCTGTAAAGATCCAGTGGTCTGGTTTCCTCCTGGCAGTCAGGATTCTGCATGGTCTTCACACAGCGAGCAAAATTACAGCCTAAATTAAGTGTAATTTCTCTTAACTATATAACCAAGGATGGGGTTCTCCTCCTTTAGTTCTACAGGCATAGAATTGACATAGCACTGTCTGGCTGTAAATTATGATGTGAAACTCCATGTTCAGGTTTTTATAGATTGTGCATATAATCTGTCCACAGAAGGATGCTCAACATTCAGAGTCTAGTGAATACTGTCCTAAATGTCTACGATTGGACTTGATGATCTTTGAGGTCTCTTCCAACCATAATGATTCTATGTCATCACAGTCCAACAAAGACAGTGGCAGAATTGTTACTGACTCCAGTGTGTTCAAGCTTTCACTGCCAGATGTTTTCACTGAAAAAGTCTTAAGGGAGAGGTCTGTGCCTCTGCTTTCAGCTGATGGGCCCTCATCAAATCCGTTTCTCTTGGGAACTGCTGAAAAGGCTGAAGACATTGTGCTGAGTTGGAGATTCTGTAGCAGGGATGCTGTAGTGAAAAAGACAAATAACTAACACTCAAGATTTTTTGAAATGACATCAGTGATGTTGGGTATTTCATGAGGAATTATTTTACACAGAGCCAGCCATCAGAGAAGGTGAAGTGGTGGAACAAAGAGGGTCCGTATGACATTGAGATTGTATGAAGCTTGAAGTTAACCTCCGTTTGTCCCCACGTCAGATGAAGTCTATACATTGCTTAGAAAACTTACTTTACATGATGCTAGATATATGTCTCTAGTACTACCATCCCATACTGCAAAAGTCTCAGTCAAAATGCTTTTTAAAGAGAAGTAAAAATAGGTTGTTTATTTCATTGGTACATTTGTTTCAGCTTTTCAATATTGCTGTGTGGCCTTTCCTTTTTTTCCACTTAGTAGACAAAAATCCAAAATGAACTTTGCAGAAAATGTTTGTGCCAAAAAAGCCTTTATTTTGTCTTTTCGTATTCATACTGTACTTCACCCTGTGCTTCAAAGCTGAACTCAGTCACTGTCAAAAGAACTAAAGTTAGAAGGTCACCGGCGCAAAAAGTATGAAACAATGCAGTTGTTTTTCATCTGCTTTGTAAATAGTAAAAAATACACTTTCTACTTCAGAAAGTTTTCTAATAAATTCTACATATATATGTACATATTTATACAGTGATTGTTTTAGGCTTGGTATAGGTGTTTTCTGATATTATATAATGTTTTGGATGACTGACATTGTCTGGATGTAGTTAATATTTTTTAAATGTTGTACGTGTTAATCTTACTCACTTCCGTGAGCTTGGAGAGGTTTTATGTATTTGAATGGGTGAGCATGAGAATGGTGGAAGTTATTGAAAATGTTTGCATCAAAATAAGGTGTCAGTTTTAGCATGACTGTTGCTGTTTGTGCCTGAACTTGACTTCTTGCTATTGAGCAATAATATTGTAGGAGGAAAATGGCTTTGTAATGACTTTCACAGCAATGCTTATTTGGGTATGTCTGTTGTGGTTGATCTTGAGTCATAACGCTGTTGTTGTTGGCTTATAAATTATAATAGTTGAAAAATACAATGGAATGATCAGAAATTTTATTGTGATGAAAAATGCATCATTCCATTCTCATATGAGCTCATGCCATATGAGCTGTATTGTGTAATATTATTTTATCTGTACTTGCCTGTCTATTTCCCTTTACATGTATCCGTATGCATAGGGGATATCTGAGTAGCCTGTACATAACTGTAGAAAAAGTCCTCTGGTGTTAAGCTACATGTGTCCTGCAAACAATGTACTATGAAATATAAAATGATGAGGGATGTATTAGCGCATGCCTGTTTTGCAGAGTCAGAAAATATTTTAAAGTTCCTTTTTAGTAAACATTATTTTTAATAATTAAAAATCATCAGCAAGATTTGAGATAGAGCTATAGACGTCACACACTGTGAGCTGTTTTGAGGAGTTAGCAGCTTTTTATTTTCCTTCCATCTTCTGTAGAAAGAGGACAACTCTACTCGCCTCTCACTGGGGACTTACGTAGAACATGAGTGTGCATATCTCTTTCTAGCTCATATTTGAGTGGAATGCTAAACTTTTTCAAATTGTTTTAAAGTCCTGCTGTCTTTACATAGAAAATCCAGGATTGTAAAATTTCCTGGATCAGCTATTTCTTCAACTACCATTGAAGAATAAAATCCATTATGCTAAAATGATGAAATTTTGCAGTCCAGGACTTCCCGTTTCCTTCTAGGCTCACCAGAAAGTCAATGTGGTTCCTGTACCAAATCCTTCCTCACTCTCCATCTTGGCAGAAAATTTCTTCTGCTCTAGAAGCCGCTTTTTTCCCCCAAAATTTTCTCTGGGAAAACTCACAATACATATCTCTGAACAGTCGCTCTTTCTGTAGCTGTGGTGTGGCAGTGTCTCCACAGGGTGCTTAGCTACCTGCCCATGGGTATGTTCTCATACTCTGTTATCATTAGTGAGTTATGTGCTTATTAAGGTGTGTCTACTAATTTGATGCTCAGGCAAACATACTTTATATCTTTATGTTCTAATCGGTATGTTCTTTGTTCATCCTTCCAGTGCCTTAAGAAGAGACATCATGGTGTATTTATTAACAAATGTTTGCTTTTTCATTCTAGCGGTGCTGCCGATTCATTTGTCAAAATCCTTGTTTTCTCTAATACTGTCTAATTACTATCTACAAAAATTGATTAAAATATACAGCCACTTCTTTTATGTATGTTACTTACAGTTGAGTACTATAAAGCAGTACTTCTTAACCATGCATGCTTTGCTGTCCTGTTGGTTTGGTTAAAATCCCCTCTCTCTCTGAAAGAATGGGAAGTCTGTCTCTCACAGATGCAGTGGACGCTCAATGCAGGAAACACCTTGCAGGACGAGAGTTCAGTCAGTGAAAAGAAAGCCTGCGTGGTATTTGATACAGTAGCTGAGATAATGAATTAGGATTGATTTTGAAATTCTTATTTATTGACTTTGAAATACAACAGACAACAAAGCTTTTCATGATTAATAGTCTGGGAGTTAGGTTATTCTGTGTTTAGAAAGATTTAATTAAAGAATTGGACTCGAGAGATACTCTTATTTGTAGGGCTAGGGCTGGGAAGGGGTTTACAGATACACTATCACTTCTTTTAGAGGATGGCAGAGGGGCGCAACATTCTGAAAAGTACCCGCTAACTTTGGGCTCACTGTGAGAAAGTTCGGTGTTAATGTAGAGGTACTAGATCTCTAGTCTTAACTGGAGTGGGTATGATAATGTGCTTACTCTTTCAGTGTAACACAAGTCATGCTTCCAATTTTGTCAGCCCAAATTGTACGATTGATAGAATAAAGTACCCTGAACACGCAACAGATTAAGTATGTATACGGATTTCTGATTCTCTTATTTACCTTGTAATTTTTAAATTCCTAGTTTTGTACCTATAGCATCCGTGTTCTCACAGACATGAAGGATGTCACTTGTTTGATAAGAAAGCTGAAATTCTCGTGTAATAGAAAGTTTTCAAGATTTAAGGCTTTATGAAACTTACAATTAAATGGAAAACAGAGGTAATCTGTCAGCCTGATAGTATTACTTATGTACATCATAAAAGATTTCAAAGTCTTAAGTATTTTCAAAACTCTCGACTGCTTTGAAATAAAAAATGAAAGCCAGCTGAGGAGGAGTTTTATTTCATCGCTTTCTAATGTGCAGAAAAAACACTGCTTTGAAATAGAAGCAGGCTTTTCTGACGCTGCTGTTGGGTGAGTGGAAAAAGTTGGCAGGGGTTTGTCTCGTTCGTCTTTCCCACTGTTTTCCAAGTTGTGCAGCCTTAGAAATGAGGCTTGGTTCAGCCGTCGCTGCTATTTGCAGTGACATCTAGCGTGCTGCTTCGTGGTGACACTGGTAGAGGTCTGCCTGCGTTACACGTCTTCTCTAGCATTTCTACTGCACCTCTGATGTGAATGTTCTTTATCTGTCTCTGCTTGTGGGCAAGCCCTTTAATTTACCATTTTCTTAAATGTTTATAGACTGAAGACCCAACCATGGAAAGGCCATACACGTTTAAGGATTTCCTTCTCAGACCAAGAAGGTGAGGGGCAGGACCTCTGTATTTTAAAACATTTTTTACCTCAAGGTTTGTTATTTGCAACTATTTAAGAGCTGTTGAATGAAATGTGCCTCCTTTATTCTAGCCACAAATCTCGTGTAAAGGGTTTCTTGAGACTGAAGATGGCTTATATGCCTAAAAATGGTGGCCAAGAGGAAGAAAACAATGATCAAAGGGATGAATCTGAGGTAAGGCTTAATGCTTGTGGAAGCACTCAAGTTATTAGAGATTCAAGTATAATTGTAGAAGAAGTTGTACCATGAAACATAAAACCCTGGTGGCAGTGTTAGCAGCTTACTCTCCTCCCCGCTCCAGCTTGCCTGTTTGTTTTTTTTTTTTAACTGTAACCTGGTGGTTTCTCAACCATTTGAAGTATTTCAAAGAATTTCAGCTGCCACAGTGAATTCTAAAGTCTGTCTGACTCAGTTTGTGAGCAGGTAAAAGTGGAAGTCATGCCAAGCAGAAGAATTCAGAAAGTCTATGCAAGTAATTTATAAACGTGATGGTCTATATTAGCTACCTTGTCTTCAGAGGCCATTTCAAAATAGGCATTATAACATTTTTCTTTATTTCCTTGGCAGCATTGACTTTGCAGAGAATAAAGCTCATGCAAGCGCAGCAGGTTTAAAGACTTCTCAGCACTCTTATCAGCCATCATCCATTTCAAGAATTAGCTGCAATTAGGGCTGTCAGAATGAACATCAGCCTGTGTTTGCCTTACTTCTTAATAGTTTGCAGCAGTCATCTGTAACTGGGAAATGAGGGCTCTCATACCAAGCCATACATCTCTGAGTTCAAAAGTTAACGGTTGGTTCTCTTTGGCTTCTAGACTGGGAATCTGCACCTGGCTGCCACTGGAACAAGCAACTACCCAAATACGTTTGCGAATCCCTGTTGTAATAGGCTGATGGGATTTTAGGGTTTTTGTCATTGAAATGAGGTGCACGCTGTAACCACGGAGTTTATTCTATTTCTGTATGGTTTACATTTAAGTAATTTTGAATTTCTCTTTGGAAAATTTTCAGAATCTGCATCTATATGCTAATGTAAGCAACAATGAAGTAACTTCTCTTTAGTTTGAGCTTTCACTTTTTTCAATTTTTTTTTTTTCTTCATTGCTAAGCATGGATGGGATGTAGTTGATTCTAATGACTCCGCATCTCAACGTCAGGAGGAGTTACCACCTCCTCCACTGCCTCCTGGATGGGAGGAAAAGGTGGACAACCTGGGGCGAACCTACTATGTCAACCATAACAACAGGACTACTCAGTGGCATCGACCAAGTTTAATGTAAGTGGAAGTGTAGTGCAATGTTTTGTGGATATGTACAAAATTATCAATGAGAATGGTGATTTATTTTTTTTTCCAACAACCATTTTGAATTTACTAATTCAAGGCTGAAAAAAGTCTTAAGCAAGACTTATACGAAGCAGTTTATAGAGGCACACTGTTCTTTTCAGTAACAGATTAATCATGATTTTGGTGCTGCGCTATGTATCTGAAACTATAATTTATTCATGGAAAAATTTTCACAGATGTGCTAGTAAATTGAGAACCAAAATCTGGATATCTTCAATTAAAAAGGAAACATCTCTTTTTTTAAGAATGAAAGAGACTTCCCGACCCCCAGCAAATCACATATACACATAGGTATTTTGGAAAATTCTAGGAAATCTGAAGGGATGGGAGGGAAGTCAGTGCATTAACAATGTACCTTAGAATATTGGGAGACAGATGTGGAATTTTTCAGTAAGTAATTTAGCAGGAATAAATTACTTTCTTAAGGTAAGGAAAAAAAGGAAGTCAACTCTATTAAGTTTTAATTAAGTTAAACTGATTAACTTTGAGGAGATCCTGATTATTATTCCGTGTATAGACTGCATTACCTATGTACACTGGTTGTGCTAATGTGGAGTTCCTCTTCAAGCCTTCATTATGTATTTCTTATTAGAAAGTATGTATAAGTGACAATGTTAAGAGTTATACTGAAATCACTAATGTTAAACGTCTTGCATTATATTTACATACCGACTGTTCTTCCCCTATTGTTTATTACAGCAGTAGCGGTTATTCTTTCTTGAATATTCATAATCATAGCTAAATTATGCAGATGTGTGTTGTCCTTAAGGTACTATTTGTTGTGCTGGACTGATGCATTTATCGTCGTTAGAATTGAATTAAATTTTGTTCTGTATGTTTTGAACTATTTACTATTGAACTATTTGAGTAATTTACTAAGGATTGGGTATTTTATCAGGTGAATCTCATCAACTATCATTATGATTGGTAATGGTCTATAAGTGTCTTATCAAAAAGTGGGTTTTATAAATTACTTGATTTAGAACCTCCTTGTAATCTGATTATGCTTGATGAAGTAAAGAGTGCATGGTTTGACTGGCAAATACCAAAAAGTAATCATCACTAGAAACTGTCATCATAAGATGGGTGTATAAAATCAAGGCCTCGGGGGTTCGCTTTTAGCTAGTTGTCATCACAGGTAGCTTGGAAAGAAGTGCCTAAGTGCTACTGATGAACTTTATGCATGACACCAGTCTTGGTGAAGAGTGAGGACTTTAAAATGATGCTGTTTAGCCTTTAAATTCTATGAATTTATAAACCCACTATGAGCAGAAGGTCTCGTGAGTATGGAAGTAGGATACATAACTTCTCACTTTCAGGCCAGTAACTCAGATACTAAGTTGGTCATCAAGGGAAAACATTGAGTGCTGTACAGTCCATGTCTGCAGTAGGAACATGAGAGTAGTTCATTTCTCACAGTTCTTCAAAACGTGCAATGATAAAATGATTGCACAAAGACGTTTTTCCTGAACATAACCATCTTTCAAAGTTACAGTCTCTTATCCTGAAGGAGAGTTTGAAATACAATAGTGCCTTCTAACAACATCTGCCCATTGAGTTACTGAAACAAAGATTTATACCTGGCTGTGGACATTAAGAAGTCCCACAAGCCCAGCAGGTCTCCATCGAAGGAACTGGTTTATTTTCCATTTCCATCACTGCTGGTGTGAGCCAAGCTAGTGGATGCAGCCAGTTCAAAAAGTTGTCCAAACAGTAACAACTTGCATTTGCTTTGGCTGTCGCAAAAAGGAAAACGATAGTTGACATAAAGATGGGGCAAAGGTAAAACCTCTCTGTCAGGAATGATTCTGGTCATCACAAGAAAGGAGGAGTAATGATGGGTTAGTATATTTGAGTGTGGACTTCCATTTCTGCTTAGCCAACTTTGATGTATAAAGAATGTTTAAAGAAAATGAAAAAGAATTGCCAGTGTTGCGTGACAAGGACAAGTTACTCCTGGGGAGATTCCAACTGGACGCAGGAGGAAAATTTTTGGCAATGAGAACAGTCAGCCATTGGAATAATCTCCCCAGGGAAGTGGTGGATTCCCCATCATTGGACACTTTTAAGTTTCAGCTGGATGGGATGCTGGACCACCTTGTCTCGACCATGCTTTTGCCAAGAAAGGTTGGACCAGGTGACCCTTGAGGTACCTTCCAACCTGGTATTCTATGATTCTGTGACATTTGTGAAGTGCTTCCAGTTTTATTTACTTTGGATTGAGGGATTAAACGATCTCCTGTTTACGAAGCCTGACACATGCAAGAATAATGATTTTTATAATCAGAAGCATTAATGAGGTTTTGAAAGCAACAGACAAAGTAGGTGTTTTAGTTTAATATTTATTATTTTCTTGTTCTTTTCTCCTTCACATGCTTTCATTTCCCCGCTCTCCAGTGATGTGGGATCTGATTCAGATAACAATATCAGACAAATAAACCAAGAAGCAGCCCATAGGCGGTTCCGCTCTCGGAGACATATTAGTGAGGATTTGGAACCAGAACCTACAGAGGGTGGAGACATTCCTGAGGTATGTAAAGGTCTTGGGTTTAAGAAGTTGACAAAACTTCAAGGTGATGTGTTTCTCATTTGTAAGCTAGTTGCTATACAACATACATAGTAATGTTTTTACATGGTGTTTGTGGAAATTGCCTTAAGAAAAAATACCAGTAACACAGTAAAAATCCTAAACAGAGCTATACTTTGAAGGTTCCCATGCATTTCTGGGTGCCTGATAATTTATGCACAACATTAAATACTATGCAAATGCTGGGAGAAACATTTATAATTCCAAGCATTGCTTGTTATATATACGTTGATAGAAACACTTGCAATACTCTGCTTTGAATAACAGTGGAGTAAGTTGTAAAAAGAAGAGAAAACATACTGGCTGGAACTGCCATGTACTTCAGTTTTCTTTAGGGTCTTGATTTAGAGGAAAGAGAAACTGTTGGGTTTTTTCCCAAATTACTTGGTTTTAGTTGGAATTCTGAGATCTTATTTATCAGAGTGAGTGTTTGTTTAATTTATAGCTAAAATAAATACATTAAATTTGGTAGATATCTGTAGGCTTAAGTGAGAGTTTGTGCAAAGCTCTAATCCTGTTCAAGAAATATTTTATTATGTGAAGCACAGACAAAATTCTTTGTGAAAGCTAGTTTTGGTTCACTAAATGTTATTCAGAGCAACAAATAGATTGCTGAAACTTGTTGCACTCATCACTTGTTAATATTTGATTTACAGATGATAATGAGTACTTTCTATTATGCATTTTATTCTGAATTAAAATTAACAGTTGTTTCTTAGAAGTTTTAGTAAGAGTGCAGAATTAGTTACATTTTTGCCAAAATTTCAAATGGAATTTATTTAATGAGAGGTCTTTTTTATGCATCATTTCATCTACATTTTCTGCATTGACTCATAAAGCATTGTGTCATCATCAGCATGAAGACCGTTTTGAAGTCAACATGAAAACCATTTTTCCCTGTGACTACTTCACAGAGTAGAATGTTTGCTTTGTGTGTTCTAGGGATTGGTTTATTTTGTTAAATATTAAGGCTGATTATCACACCTGGGTTTGTCACAAAGAGGTGGTTACATAGAAGGCAAAGGAAAAGAAGACTCAGTCTGTCTTTATAAATCCCTAACATAGTTTCTTCTCTTTTGTTAGCCATGGGAAACCATTTCAGAGGAGGCAAGTGCAAGTGGAGATTCCTTGAGCTTGTCATTGCCACCTCCTCCTGCGTCTCCAGTATCCCGTACCAGTCCTCAGGAGCTATCTGAGGAACTGAGCAGAAGACTTCAGGTCACTCCTGATTCCAATGGGGAACAACTCAGTTCTTTGATTGTACGTGACATGCTTCTCTTTCTATATAAGTCTCTGTTACTGTAATCTTCTGTTAGTTTGACGTAATCTGAATCATTTACACAGATGGGTAGTAATTGCTGGTCTCAGGAAAACCTGAGCATACAGCTAAAATTACCTTCCAAAAAATGCGTCATAATTTCACCATAGAGCAAACTGCCTTGAACAACAGAATTCCTCAGCTCAGGCTTTAGGTTTTCTTCTGTGTGAGTTTGACTTCAGGCTCTACTACTGTTACACCTTTAGTGAAACAAAATATGTAATACCATAGAGTATCAAGCTAAGAATTTCCAGAGGAAAGAGGAAAAACTGCTAATGCTCTTTCAATCATCATCCATTTTACAACATGATAATTTTTCTTAAGTTTAGTATTTTAACTGTATATTTATATTAAAGCATGTACTGTCTTATATTAGGATTTTATAAACCCCTCATAGTTTACTGGATTACCGATTATAAGACTAACAAAGGATTAGAAATAGAAGTAGGTAGTTCTGGTGAAATCCTCCACAAGTTTGTAAACGGTTAGTCTGGAAAAATTTGTCTCTCACTGTAAGAGTTGACTTGAGATAAAAACAAAAAATGTTCTCTATGTTTGTGTTATCCATTAGTTTGTCAAACTGATGATAACACACTTGCAAGTGAGTGATTGTCTTATGTCTCTTTGATTAAGCAAACAATTGTAAGAATTAAACAGAAGAGCATGCTGCTGTTTATTCATTTTTTTGTTGTTGTTGTTCTTGGTATATGCAATCAAGGTACTTTTGCAATTCAAGATGTAAGAAATCATATTTACTCTTGTTCTGATTAAATAGAATCTTGATTAGGTGCAAGTTTTTCCACAAAGAGCCTACGCAATAGGTGTCTTATGACTGTTATTTAGAGGTTAGTTAGCAAATTATAGCTCTGATGGCTAACCATCTGCAAGAAGAGTCACTTGTGCTTTTGTAGGTAACTGCAAATTTTAGTAGACCTTCACTTGGAGGGCAGGAGGTTAATCAAAGAGTTTCATTTTTGTTACACTAACAATAATAAATTAGTGGTATAGCTGCAAAATTATCTTAATTAAAATAATTCAATAATTATATTCCTATACAAACTAGCTTTTTTATGAACCATTAAGTGATAGCATCTTTCTTTTCAGTGCAACAAAACTTATAGTCAGACCACACTTGCAAAGTAAGACGTTGTCAAAGCATTTAAAATCGCTGTTACTGCGCACTAGCCCGTGTCAGGGTGTTGGGATACTAACAGAAAAAAACAGACAGTGAAGTTACTCTCGGACGCCCTTGCTGAGGCACCCAGAAGTCTGCATACAGAGACTGTTTTTTTTTAGTGCGTAGCCCCGGCATATCTGTCAAGGCAGCTCACACCTCTGAACTGTGCTTCCCACAGCCTCTCTGAGGGCTCGCTGGCCTGGTCCAGCACTTCAGTCTGAGCTGGGTCCATGTGAATGAACAGCGCTTGCCCTGGGCTAATAAATCCTCTGAGTTTGGAGGACGGCAGGCACAGTACAGAGGCATCCCAGGGCTTCATTTGGATTGAGCCGGACAGGCAGGAAAAGCTTGGCAGTTGCAGCTGAACACAAGCTATAATCCATGTGCTCAGGTACGTCCACGTGACGTTGCCTCTTGATCCAGATTCCTGAAGGCTTGTGGGACCAGCTTTATGACTTTGCATGGAGGAAGCTTGGAGCCAGGGTTTTTCCCAAATGCACCAGATCTAAACTGGCTTTACATAAAGCTGGCTCAGATCTGCAGGTTGTGCGCTGAAACGAGAAGCCCTTACAGTTGCATTTCTCGAGTGGCTGGAAAGCTGCCCGGCGGAA